TGACCGTATAAATTCGAAGAGCTATGGAATTTGCGTCCGAGTTCATCAAATATTCACACGCAAAAACACAAAGTTTCTGGCGTTTAATTACCCTACTGCACATCTGCATTAAACATCAGTTCGCTTCGACCAGTACATTCTTCTGTTTGGGTATTTTGCATAACCAGACAACAGCATTCCACCAATGAAAACAAAGATTTTGTTTTTATTGACCTTTAGGGTTTTGTTTTGTTACAGTGTGTATCGATTTGTGACAAATAAATTAAAAAGAGAATCACTGAAAAAGAGACGAAAAAAACCGGTAGGTGTTTTGCAGTCTTTTGCTTCTTGAGACATCTTTACTGCGGGAGTAAACTCATTCTTCATCGTATACATTGAAACTGATTTCTGCCAAGACACTTTAGATTTTATCTTTTTCGAGTTAGTAGTAGTAACAGCTTGTGCACTCTGCAGCTTTTTTCGGAGCTGTGATAATGATAGATCATCAGAACTATATTCGTCTTCATCGATATCCCCTGGCAATCCTGATAGCATCATTTTCTTACTGTTGGGAACCCGAACGGTTTAGTTGGTCAACACGTTTATTTTATTTTATTTAAAATAAATTACTTAATACAATGTTATTAATTTATTGTATTACAATTATAAATATTACGAGTGGAGAAAGAAACTGTTATGTAACTTGGGACTTAGAAGAGTTTTTGATGAAGAACACGATCGCGATGCGAACTGGTATAGTGCCTCGACGGAAATTTGTAGAGTGTCTGTTTTGGGGACAAAACAGACGGTCTTTTTATATCAAATTTTGATGACGTTTTTGGGCTTCGAGAATCATCCTTTTTGGGGCGTGAGACCAAAAGGTTATCTTGTGTCTAGGAATGGTGTTGGGCCACATTACTAAATCAATTACTTATCTCGAAAGAAAAAATAAGATTAATTTGGGAAATAGTCATTTTAGTGCGGCGAGTAAAAAGAATTATCATTTAGGAAAGCGCTTATCACATCATGATAGCGCTCAGCAGTGGAAAAATGATAAGTTTAATTGATTTGGTTGTCAAAATATGTGAGACCCTTAGGTCAAAAGATTCAATTTAGAATTGAATTATTAGGCTTGAGTTCGATTGCCATTTAGATAGAAAAATTAATTATGTTGCTTAGGTTTAAATGTCGTTCCGATAAGGAGATGCGTGCGTGAGAATTTAGAATACACGGAATAATCATGTGATTAAGCGTAGCACATAACAATCTTCCCCTGTTTAAGCGTTTTGATCAACTGCAAGTTATCAAAACGTAAAAAGAATAAAATAGACAATGTTATATAGATGAATACAAAAAATCAAAATATAGAATAAAATACAAGTAATGTTCACGTCAAAATTAAATGTGAAGACATCAATTTGGTCAGTACAAAAAACTTAAACTAGATTAGTGATTTATTGAATGACACAATTGGCAATGTTTGGTTTTTAAATGTTTTCACTTGAGTCTGTTCACTAAATAACTTCACAATTTTTAGTTCACATCTTTAAAGTATTTTTTGATGAACATCTTGTAACTCTTCTAGCGGGTTCTTCTAGGTTGATTTCCTCATACTCTTGGAGTGGTGCAGGGGCAGGCAAACTTTGGATTGTTTCGTCAACTGCAGCTATCGGAGGTCTGGCGTATAGGGGGTTGGTAAACTCGGTTGGTTTCGAGAAGTGTACCCAATGTTTGCGTTGCGGTTGGTCGTAGTCGTATGATTGTAGACTGATGTGGCTTAAATTGTTGTGGCTATTAATGCATACGAGGGCTTTGCATGACCCTCTGGTAAAGATATTTTTTAACCAGTTGAATACGGACCATCGACATCTTTTGCAACAACACCAGCATAAACTAAAAATAAATAAAATAACGGCGACAATGCCTAAGAAAGTGTTGTACCACTTCAATCTAATTGTTGGGAATGGTTGATTCATTCTTCTGTCGAGTTCTTCATTAAACTGTTTCAGTTTTGAGTTAGCATGGTTCAGGTCGTTGAAATTAACATCTGAAAGTTTTATTGGTTCCATTTCTTCAGTCATTAATAGTTCTTGTTGTTCGAGACAACATTCATCGACTGTTATATCAACTGTTGGAACATCATTTGTAAAGTTAGCAATTTGGTTTGATGTTGCAATCAGTATTGTTGATAGTGTATAACATTTGCATTTTGATCTGAGTGTGAATATTCCATTTCCTTTGCCGTTCCAAGTGTCGGATTGGAAGTGACAAATAGCCATTGGTTTTTATTTAACCGATGTCAAATTTCTAGATCGCTTTTCACTACTTTTGCATCACATATTTCTGGTATAGTTGTTAATTGTTCGGTCTTCAATTTTAATTTGCATGTTGGCCTTTCTTTGGTAACATGTGTGATCATATTTTTGCATATGTAGGTTTTTGGAGGGACTTCGATGCAATTAGTTAAGTCTTTGGCTTCGCTGTATAGAATCTTCGTGTTGCTCAATAAGAGGTAAGGAGAGGAAGTATTTATATAGGAATAGATGGAGGTATTTGCAAATTGGACAGGTAATGCTGCGAATCTGCTGTCCACGAGTTGGTGCAGAGGGCACAAACCTCATTAGAGCGTATAGAAATTGCTCTGGCGGCTTTTCTGGACATAGAGGGAGCCTTTGACAATACCTCTTTTCAGTCAATCGTCAGTGCGGTGAAAAATCGTGGAGTGGAGCC